GGAACCAAATATTTTCACATTTATCCAGCAAAACAGTTTGCATAAAGAGGAAAGGTATGCCCTTAACCCAACCACAAGTGTTACATCCAATTACAAAAGCAAGCACAAGACATATTTGGATTATTAGCCATTTTCTACAAATTACAGAGAGGTATGATAATCACAAATGTATACTGTTAAAGCCTGCCTTTCCATTGGAATGTCATGGTTGTTTTTCTAGCACGATCGTGATATTTTTCCCTCCTCTTACGGAAACAAGTGACTTATACAATCAGCAGAGATAGCTTTGCCTTCACCGGGAGAGCCTAAAGCAAATACAGCTGAGACACGTGTGAGCTGGGGCGCTGTAACTTGTGCGATATTGAGCCATTATGAGTTAAAGAACACCCTCTGCCAATGGCAGCTTAACATATGGTTAGCATTTCATCTGCTATGTGACGTTTTTTTCAAGGAGATATACAGATGAACAGGGGGGACTTTCCAAGAAAGAGGGATCATTTCAGTCCTTTATTAATTTGTTAAGTTGTTGGGTCAAAGATATTTGACGAGGCTGAATGGTTTGTTTCAGTACGTAAATATATATAGTACAATGTGTACAACTCTTTACTGCCGTCTTGAAGCATTAGTGAGGCTAAACCTTAAAACGAAGAGTGGAATCTCCTCCCTTTGTTCTAGACTTCCTAACAGGCTAAAAGGACATCATTTTCATCTAAATGTTTTCCACAGCTTTGTGTCAATCTCCTCCAATCACCCATTAACAACAATCCACCCTTCAAATGCTAAGCACACAGAGCCGGAGCACGATGTGCCTGGCTGCATTTGTAAGGGGCCTCCTCATTCCACTGCCATCTAATGTTAACCCACATTTCATAGTTCTTTCACGAGTGTGTGCTTGTCAAGTTTGATAACAATCAAACCACTGCACATCTGTGTGGGTGACAGGGTGAACACGAAAAGACTGGGGGTGGCGACACACCTGTCCTTTGAAACTACACCTCCACTTAGGATTCATGAAGTGTTTTTTCAAATCCATCTGGATTATTACAGAAAATATCTGACAAAACTGACCGCACAAACCGATCGAGACTTGGACTGTATTTATTTATGACATTCTTCATGTAGCTGGTTCTCAGGCCTGCCTGATTATTCCTCTCCCGGTATTTCAAATAAACCAATCGCCCAGTGTTTCCTCAAATAAGCAGGGAACGACCCGGCGATGCACCTTGCTAACACCAGATTATGTTGCTAAAATCAAATACAGTGGGAAAAAATCATGAGAAACACTGAACAGAGACATTGAGGTTTCTATCAGGAGGTTCAGAGAAGCATTGGTCACTCAGAGGTCAGAGTCTTTAAGTAGCCATCCGGCACTTATTGCTGGGAACACAAAATCCCTGCATTTATGACGTTATATCTTGCGTTGTTCAATGGGCCAGTAAGCATGGACGTTCCTCTTGAAGAGTAAAGTTTCTTTCTTTTACAGAAAGCTCTTTAAAATTACTAGAGCGAACCACAGAGTGGAAGTCAGTGAAAACATTTGTCTCTGTGTTGTTCCAAGAGTGGTCAAACCATAACATTTAAGACAGACTTTATATTTTCACTGAACATTTCACTTTTACACAAGCCTACATTTGATCTGTGAACAATCTTTGTTTTATCTATTTGTGCAGATGCATGAGTCATCACAAACTCATTTGCATGTTGGAGTGCATTGCACGCAACCAAAATTACCAAATCAAATCAAAACGCCATATTGTTGATCAAATGTGTACAGGAGGAACACCTGGGTAAAGGCCCTCGTCAAAAATATGGTATTTCAATAACAAAAGCTAAGTTGCAATTTGTTGGGCTAATTACACTCACGGATCATCTCAAAGGACTGTTCTTGCCACAACCTGTTTCATCACATTCTCCTATACTTAGTACCAAAAGATGAAAGGGCCTTTTGTAACGAAGGTCCAATAACTATACAGATTTGTATACTTTACAACACATTATTTGAACATTTCACAGCTGTCCAAACATCATCTTTGTATCCACAGATGTGTTGACTCAAATCACATGACTCCAAATCATTGACTCTTTGAATCTGAAGACTTTAAGTAATTGGTATGGTGTGCCGTCCGATCATGGCAAGAGCCACATGTGTATAGCTAACCACACTCGAAAGACATTCAAGATGTGATTACACTTTCATCTTTCCACTAAGCCATTTGAAGTGTTGCAATTATTTGTACACAAGAAGTGATAGAGGTTATTGAATAAACGAGATTTATAGAAAACAGTACTCACTCAATGCACCTCCTCAGTGATCCGTGAAGTGGAAATGCTTGTCCGATGTTCGAACGGTTTTGTGAGGATTCAGTCGTTGTTTCATCATCTAACAACCACTTCAGTTACAGTAAATGTTATCTTTACTATCGATTGACAAAATCACAAAATACATTTATCAGAAGATAACTTCACCTAGAGTTCTTGCCTCTTTTTCTTTGATGAATTCATATTTCCCCCAGGCCCAAAGATTATAATGCACCTCTTAAGACGTTGAGCAATTCAGCGATCAGTAGCCAATTGGGTCTTTTTCACAACAGCCATTTTGAGACCTTGTAGTAGGAGAAGCACAGGTGTTACTAATAACATTGACGATGGCTCTGTTCCATTTGTGTCCCTTAAGTCATGACAGTGTGACAGTGAGCCAGCACGCACTATCCCAGGACCATGAAACTGAAAAACCAGGAAAGGAGGTATGTCCATTAGAAACGAATAAAGGCTCTTTGTCCCAAAAAGCTTCAGACTACAGTAAACTCAACATGCCACAGCCAATAGACCTGGCTACTATTCCACTGAAGCGTACAAACTCCATTTTGCCATGCTTCTGATTGGCAGTCACTGTCAGTTAGGTGGTAAGCAGAGCAAGCTATAGAGTATTAGCTAGACATCTCCTGGGCCTCATTATAAGCCTCATTCTCCAGCAGCACAGGCTCTTACATCTGAGTGCCCAGGAGAAGCAAGAGGGCCCACTTTGTCAGAAACAGCCAGGGATACATTCTTCTTCCACAAGGTTTGTTCAGGACTGAATAAGTCTTTGTGAAGCTTGATATATTGTACATGTGACGGCTTGCCACAAATCCATTTACAATCAAGGGCAGAAATCTCCATGTAGTTTCTGATTCAGCTCTAATCCCAGGCAGCACCACACCTTTATCTCATAATTATCCAAAAGGAAATACACAGGGATTGTATCAGTTTGGTTAGGATTTAGAGGAAAGGCAAGGAGAACGCCCATGCTGTGCATATCCTGAAAGGCATCCAGACACTGGATTACAGGTAATTTAAGACAAATTGAGGCATATTTAGGCCCACTTTTCTATGTAGCATCAGATGTAGTGATTTCAAACCAGAATTCCTGTTCACCTAAACCGGGGGCTTTTTTCAGATTATGTTGACAGATAAGAGAAACTCAACTACTAAAATAAATATAGAAGTATTATTACTAAGATTGGATTCAAGAAGTTTAATGCAGCTATAACACTTGCATTATGTGAACAAACTGTTGAAATGGTAAACTAAAAGCAAAGTGGTTAAAAGTAGTTTGGTAACTTTAACTTTATGGATTATGTTTTACAATAATAAGCTTAAAGTAAGTTTCAAGTGGATAAAGTACAAGTGTTAGCTAAATTGATTGATCAAATACAATAGCTAAAAGTAATGGATAAATTGTTACTACGGTTAACTAAAAGTAATGGATAATTTCTAACAAAAGCTAAAAGTAATGAAGAAATGTTCAATAGTTAGCCAAAAGTAAACAGTGAGTTTTTACAAAATTAAGCTAAAAGTACTAGCTAAATTGCTTCAATGGTTAGCTCAAAGTCTTAGATAAATGGTTACAATATTAAGCTAAAAATACTAGCTCGATTGCTAGCTAAAAGTAATGAAAAGTGTTAAATAGTTAAGATTAAGTTAATGGATAAGGTGTTCAATAGTTAGCTAAAAGTAAACAGTGAGTTGTTGCAAAGTAAGCTAAAAGTACTAGCTAAATTGCATCAATGGTTAGCTCATTGTATAAGTTAAATGGTTATAATATTAAGCTAAAATTACTAGCTTGCTACAATAGTTAGCTAATATTAGATAAATGGTTAAAATATTAAGCTAAAAAGATCAATGTCCAGCCCCTGCCCCAAAATGGTAGCAAAAACGCTAACTTTACTTCACTGTGGTTTAGCATTTAATTGTTATAAAGATAAATGAATTGTGTAAAATAAATATCGATTTCTGTGTGAACATGGCTGACAAATATTATCTTTTAAATCAGTTTGAACAACACTAGGAAGGTAGTGGGTGAATAAAGGGTGGAGTTCAAAGTGACATGGGGGTAAATCTGACAGAAGAATTAGAACCATGTAGCATGGTAACAAAGGGAGAGCCTGATGACTATTCGACTACCAATATGTTCACCTTATTTAGAAAATGGGCTAAAAGTTGATCATTTATTTATACTGCGGAAAAAATTACAAAATGACTGCATTCAAAACACAACCTTCTAAGTTTTGTTCCAAACAGGATTTCATTATAAAAATTGGTTTCAAAGAAAAGATCAACCGTACATTTCCTTTATCGTAAGAACACACGACAAAACAATAAGAAAGCAGATTTATAGATAAGCTAATAAGCTTATCTGTAATTTGTCATTATTGGAAGTATTAAATCAAGTTCAAAAAGGCAAATGATCCACCCATGAGAAGAAAGAAAATACTAAGCAGATTAGTTGAATGTGACTAATCATTTATTTACTGTGTTAATGTTAAATATGTTTTTTTCAATGTTCTACGTACAATTAATTGGAAACTTCTTTATTGCAATATATTTTTTGTCTATGGGGTAACGGGTAAATAGAAAGTATTGTATTCCCATTATATCTTTGGAAAATGTGAAACTTCTTCATGTGTCAGTGCTTAAAAACATTCTCTATAGAGCCAACCATCAACCATATCGACAGAAAATTCAAAAAACACGTACTTTATTTCAAATTGCTGCAACAGGGGCACTAAAAACAAACTGCAGAGAAACACACAGGCCCCCCGAGTTAAACTCACTTCGATAGAAAATATTCTCATTTAAAAGTCATGAATAAAATGAAAGCACAGGAGAACATGTGTCGGACGAAATGATTTGGATCATAGCGTTTATCAAGCTTTGTCCATCCAACAGCGAGAAAGAAAAGGAACACTTATTAGATTATAAGAGCACAGTTTGGTGCGGCTTGCCAAGCTTTAAAAAACAAAAAAACATGTCATGAACTTTCAGGAATAAATAAAAAAAGTGATTAGGAAAGGATGCATGTACCCACCGAAAGAAGTTAAATTAAAATCAATTTAACTGATCCAACAGAGACATTTTGAGATGATGGGTGTGTGAGAAAAAGCAGTGAGAACATACACATCAATCAACATAAACACGCTCACTTTCTTTCACAGACCCGCACAAAGAGAGCACGCTGTGGCTATTGATTAACTCAACTAACTGGTTTGACAACACATTGATAAACTGACAGTGCACACTTTCAGACGGCTGCAGGGATCTAAAAATAAGAGCAAAGAAGATACACCAACAGGACAAACGCTATTTGTACAATTCTTAAATGAATTCAGTGTTGGATCTGTTCCTTTTTCTGTGTGAAGTTTTTTGGATAAAGATGGAATGACGCTCCAGAGAAGCAGATGAGAAAAAAACGTTTGGGTGGGGGGGAATTGAGTGCTCAGATTAAAATAATGTCTTAAAATTATTGAATTTTTTTATTAATGTAATTCCTTGGCCTTAACCCTTCATGGAACACGTTTTTAAAAAAAAGTTTAAAACAATAACAGGTCGTTGCCTACATTAAAACACTCAGTTTTCATGATTTTAGGGAACAAGAACAACATTTTTGGCCATAAGTGAAAGGAAGCATCTTGACCGGTGGCACTAAGGTAGGACTGAATCCTTCAGTGCGGCATCCAGGTGTTTCTCATCTACAGGGGTTATATTGAATGGCCCTCCTGTGGCGGGGGCAGGTCACCCTGGTCCACTACACCTGTACGATGTGAAATGCTTACTCTCCAAAAAATGTAGAAGAAGCCAAAAAGATAAAGAACGCCGTGTGCGTAACCTTCCACTGTCGCTTTCTCTTTCCGCAAAAGGCCAGTCGGGTGTGTTTCAAGACACCCCCGTTTTTTTTTACAGTACCTCACAATCCTTTTGGTTTGTCAGAGTTCTCAAAGACTCCGAAGAAGTTTCCTGAAACCAATCCAGTCCCAGGATGTGGAAGGATATTGAAGTATCTGTTAACTGCAGAGAAGGAGGTACAGAGTTTCTGCTCCTGTTGCTTTGTCTTTCTCTCTTTTATTCTTCGTCTTTTACTTCACCATTCGGCGTCCCCAATGGCTTTGGAGAAGACATAGTCTCTCCCGTTCAGATTCATGATCCCGTCCTTCAGATGGAATTTCCATTTGTTCTTACTTCTGTGAATCTGGGGAGTATGGAGACGGAAATTAATGTTGTAGGCGTCAAGGACAGATGTTTCATCTTACGGTGGACACAGTCTCTAATGTCTTTAGCCTGTGCACACAGGAGACTGGCCGGACACAAACTGTGTATTCACCAGTGTCGTGCAATACTTATAAACAGAAACTCATCTAGAATTTAAGTTTTGTAACACAATTTCTGCATGTATGATAGTGGTCATCAACCACTGCAGTGCATCAAACCAATACAGCGCTAATGTACCACAGAAATGGCTCAGATTCATAAATGGGAGAATCTGCCATCAAACACATTTTTGGGGAAATATTTTGCACTTTTTCAAAGGATTTATATGATATAGGCAAAAATATATGATCTTATATAACGCCAGAGTTTATTTGTTATATAAAACTGATATTACATTCATATTTTATCAAAGTCCTTCTTAGTAGTAGTAATGTTTTAAATCGTTAAAATGTTTTTTCATCGATTGACAAATGTAAACAACTGTGTTTTTGCGTTTAAGTGTTAACTTTAGCCAATATGTGTGTGAGTCCTAAAGTGCAGTGATGAAGGAATGACTCGGAAAACCCGGAAATGAGTTAGTATTTGACCTCTTCTGGTTCCCCCGAGTCATGCTTGCTTAAGAAATGTTCATGTTTCATCCTTTAAATAACCCACAGGAGTATGTTTTGTGAATGTGTCATAAACGGCAGTTTCTAACACAAACTAAATGAGACTATAAATGTCATTTAGCGGTGGTGGTGGCATGAAGTCATGACAACGAGATGTACGTTTGTTTATAGCCTAACCTTATCTTACAATTTTGGCGATTGCATTGATGCTAGTCAAATCACAAAGTGGTGTTCATATGGGAGATTATCACAAGTGTCTGTTCGCCACAGATCTTATTTTCTATAATATTCTAAAATCCAATAGAAAAATCTCATTGCATTTTGTCGAAGAAGCCCTTGCAATGCTAACTTCAGGGTTGCTCTATAGACTAGTGATCAGTCCAGGGATAGAGCGGTGATTAAGGGAAACTTAAAATATTTTCCACTGTATTTTTACAGAAAGGCTGATAGTTATGTTTTACCATATTCTTCCACTCCACAGATCATGTCTCACCTTGTCATACTGGCACACCACTACATTCTCTGTATCAAACAGCTCCTGGTCCTCCTCATCGCTGACATCATCACTACTGTTCAGCGGCTCCTGACACGGGGACAAACCAACACAATATTAAATCGAGTTATGGCGAAGAAGCCCTTGTAAATTAATGTCTGGTCTTTACAGCAAATCTTATTATTATCATTTATAGCGTTACAAATAGTTGACACTGCAGTGCCGCTGCGTTTAACCTACAGCATTTGTTCAGTTTCAAAACAGAACCAGAGATTCATCCCAGGGAAAATTGTGTTGTGAGAGAATTGTTTTGTCAAATTTTAAAAGTAAAATGTCTAATACAAGATGTAAACCGTATAGTTTCCCACCTCTTCCACCTGGCCGTCCTCTCCCCCCTCCTTGTCCTTCTCCTCTTCCTCGTCTTCATCGTACTCCTCCTCATCCTCGTCCTCTTCTGAGGAGGTGTCTCCGGCGCCGTCCACCTGCAGCATTATGGGAGGCTGCTGGGCCTGAGGCTGCTGCTGGGCCTGAGGCTGCTGCTGGGCCTGTGGTGCAGCTGCGCCCTGGGCCTGCTGCAGCTGCACCTGAGCGGCCTGAGCCGGCTGCTGGGCCATCTGCGCCGACTGCATCACCTGACAGGAGGAAGAGAGGGGGGGTGGATGTCACAAGACTTATAAGCTCCAGAATAGAGCCGGGTTAGGGATAATATGCAGCAAAATCAGTGATTAAGACCATCTCTGGATTTACACATGATTTCACTGATTTAAAAATGATCATATTGCTCCTGCTAAGAAAAAAAAATAGTCTGTTCTAGCATAGCAAAATGAGGGCAGCACTGATCGAGGATTTCTTTAAATGTCCAAGTCTGTTCACAGTTTCTCTTCACCAGTCTTCAAACGCTGCCAGAGCCCATACCGTGTTCCTGTGTTTACTTCCTGTCTGTCTTCTTCTGCTGATTCCCCTCTCTGTGGCATTTAACCTTTTACCTTCTCTTGCACGGTTTTCTTGTTAATAGGGACAAATCAGCCAAGTCTCGTGCGCTCCACAAATATAAAATAAGCGTATTCACTCAGTATTTGATTAGATTGACACTAATGTCACAGCTGACCGGACTTCTTTCTGCGGATTGATTTGACTGCACATGGTCTCTCTATCAGAGCGTCTTTAGCAACGGTCTACTATCGACAAATATCAGACCGCTGAAGGTCAACATTGACCAATCGGAATAGAGTATTCTTCTACGTCAGGGGTTTCAAAGTGTGGGAAGGTGAGCCTCCCCCAGAGAACATAAGAACAGCCGTGCCTCCCCTCCCAATTATTATTGCTATTATTATTATTGTTGTTGTTGCTGCTATAATGCAGGGGTATTCAATTGCATTTCAAAGAGGTCGAGTAAGAGAGCATGTCAGTAAATGCTCTGTTTTCGCTGTCTGCCTTCCGCCATTTGAAATGACTCCGACTGTTTCTCTCTTCTTGTCTCGTCTCTGTGTTTGAATCTATCGTGCTGACTCACTGACTGCACCCATTTCATTGGCTGAGTAGCGTCACCTCCTTAAAACATTAAACAAAACATTTTTCAAATCTTTTTATCTTTATGTTTTAAACAATTTTTTTAAACATTATTAACATTTTCAACATCGTGGAAAAATCTTTATATGCTCCCGGCAACACACTGAACGTCAACTTTGCCTCCTTATTGCACTCACCCCTACTTTAGAGGGAACAATGAGTCTGCGTCTTGGATGCGCACAGGCGGGGATGCAATGTAGACAGGAATAAACGCAGATCACCCTCTGGCTGCAGCCTTGACCCGTACTTGCTTTTGATCAAAATCAATGCGGAAAACCCGCACTCACACAGGTAGGTGGAGGCAGGGGCGGACTGGGACTAAAAATCAGCCAGGAATCCCCCCCAGCCCAGCCCAGGGGCTGGGGGGGGGGGGGGGGGAGCCTCGCTGCGTGGAAACGGCCCGCTGAACGGACCTCTGTCGCCTGTCAGCGCAACTTACATGATGCCGTTTAATCACAGAACACACAGATGGCCAGTCCGCCCCTGGGTGGAGGTGAAGGGAATGAGCACTCTTACAGCCTTTTTGGCGAGGTGGGGAACTCGGTCTCTACAGACAGCCTAAAGTGTGCACTTTACTCATATTTTTCTCGTTATATTCTTCTCACGCTGCGCCTCCCCTGAAGCTCTCTCGCACCCCCCCAGGGAGGCGCGCCTCACACTTTGAAAGCCGCTGCTCTCCGTCATGTGATAATAAATGGATAATAAAGTAGTGCTGACCTGTGTGTTGCCTTGGACTTTGTTTCCTGAAGCTAAGACGATCTGCTGCGGCTGGATGATGACTCCTGTTTGCTGGGGGATGCCTCCCTGCAGAGGAGCCAGGACCTGCACACAGCAAACAGGAAACACTCACAATCTGCAAAAAACTATACAACAGTTTGGAGGGAGCTAGATCTTAAAATGCCAAAAGTTGAGGTTTGTTGTTGAGATGTTAGGGTCTGGCTGTTGTGATGCATTTGAATACTGCTTGTTTCATTTGAAAAGTCACTGAACAAAAAGGTAACATTAAGTAGTCATGGGTGTCCTGAATAAACTAATGTTATGTTATACGTTGCATTTTTCAATATACTCTACGCATCAAGGCTATGTAGCCAAACAGCTTTCTTGTAATAGACTGTTTTTCATAACGATAATGTATGTACAAATATACATACTGTGTATAATCAGTCTATTACAAGAAAGCTGTTTGGCTCCATAGCCAGACAAATGGATACATGCAGCCCTGTCGCCCTTACAGCCTTTGTTCTTAATCTTTAACGGTGTTGTTGACAAATCAAAGGTGCTCCTACCTGTCTAATGGGGCATACCTGCTGTATGACCGGTGCCTGCACCCCCCCGGGCTGCATCTGCTGCTGCAAGAGGATCTGCTGCTGCGGCTGCTGGATGATGTACTGAGCCCCGTTGGCAGCCCGGACCACCTGCAGGATTTGACCTGGGGGGGGAAACAGAGGGGGGAGGGGTAGTCTGTGAGAGGGCATTGGCTATATGTAGACTACAGTGTTTTACAGCTTCTTCTATGTGAGATGTAGTGAGTTACACCCCAAACAAGCACCAGGAGAAGTTGTCATGCCAATTTCTTAAACCGCAGTTTCTCAATCTGGGGTTTCGCATCTCGTTTTCTCTTATGGCTCTTTCCTGAGCGTGTGTGTGTGTGTGTGTGTGTGTGTGTGTGTGTGTGTGTGTGTGTGTGGTGTGTGTGTGTGTGTGTGTGTGTGTGTGTGTGTGTGTGTGTGACCAAGGAGCACAGATGTGTGTTTAAGGCCGAGTGTGTTTTTGTATCTGATGGGAAGCCATTAACGGGGAAAGAGCCTGGAGAGGGCGATAAAAGATAAAGCCGGAAAAAGAGTTGTGTTGAGGTCAGAGACGGTAATGGCAGACGCAGGCCTCCACTTCGGAAAAGACCTTCAAACTATCCTCCACATTTTCCAGGTACGTGTTTATACTAGGTATTACAGTAAGAGCGGATAAAAAAAATCTAAATAACTGAAAAACTGCCTTCGAAATAAAAGCGCATTTTCTATGAAAGTCACATAATAGTCAAATGAGTCAATACATTCATTCATTATTTTATTACATTTCAATTTAAATTAAAATGACTGAGAAAATCTGGAATTTTAATTGTGTGAATAGCTAGGAAAAAAATACAAATAACAATCTCATAGCACACTACCTTAGCAGCTTCCTGTTCTTTTATCGTTATCATGACCAAGCTCCAACTATGTGAATTCATGTAGCAATTCATTCATTTGGGAATTTGAATATTTTTCTTCACAATGTGCTGCTCTGATGAACCTGTGAGCGTCTCACCTTGGCTGGTGATGAGCTGTTGGTACGGGGTGACCCCTGTGGGCAGGGCGAGGGTTGCTGCGGTCGCTGCTGCACTCTAGAGGACAAAAGGAGGAAACACACATGGGAGTCAGGTACACACTCAGATGATCAAACAAACATTCAATGAACTGTCAAAGATCTAGACACACAATTAAGCACACTTAATGTGGTTAACGCTGTGTCCTTGTGACACATGTTGTTTTATTGCTCTATTTTAAATGGACTTTTTATCTTATTTGTATATCTCTGTAAAGGGTCTTTGAGCACCTGATAAAGCGCTTGATAAATAAAATGGATTGAAAAATAATGACCGTTTCAGTTTTTAAGATCTTCAAGGTGTAACGGAGCCTACACACGGCGGCGTGCGTTGCCGCTTCAACGCTTCTGCCCATTCACTTTGAATGGGGTGACGTCACGATTCGCCGAACTGCATTGTGGGAGCAAAGCGTAGCTTCTCTCGCGGTGCTCGCTGCAAAAGTAGAGCAATGTTCTACTTTTGCCGCCTCGACGGAGGCGTCAGCCAATCAAATCCCACGTATGCAAATCTGACATTACAAGCGCTAGCCAATCAAACCGCGTGTATGTTGGGAGAGCCAGACCGCAGTTATTTCCCATATGTCAAAAAATGGAGGAGAAAAAGATCGTGGCGGTACTATATGACCAGTCCCTCTTTACATACAGGGATACAAACCAGAGGAGCCAGGCATGGGGGGAGGTGGCAGAGACAGTGGGTGACACTGGTAGGTTTTCGCCTTTTTGGGGAGTTTATATCCAGTGTACTTCGTTTGAATGGACAGCTAGCAAGCATAGACAGTATATTTAGCCAGCATGGATGTAGCATGAATGCTTTGCTTTGTATGTCCGGGGCGGGACATTCATGTGATTGGTTGTTGGTCGCGTTGTTCGTAAAAAATCCCCAAGCTTCAGACACGCCCACCGCCAAGCGGTAACGCACGCCGCTGTGTGTAGGGGCTGTAACAGCTCTGTAGCGGTGCTTTAAAGGGGCCCTATTCTGCTCATTGTCAAGTTCATATCTGTATCTTGTGTCTCTATTGTGACCTGCTTTCAAGTTCAGAAAGGTCTTTGTTTTTATCATACTGCAGCACCTCTTTTCACCCTCTGTCTGAAACCAAACCAGTCTGCTCTGATTGGTAAACTGGCCGGCTCTATTGTGATTGGTCAACCGCTTAGAGCAGGACTGGCCAACCAGTCAGAGGTTAAGAGCCACATTTGTTCTATGTTACTGCAAAGAGCCACATCAAACACACAGTCACTGATACCGCTTGTTTCAGTTTTTTGTTTTCTGGAGACAAGATTTCAACCACGTCACTGATGTGATCTTTGTAGCATTGGGATATATATTTTTAAAATCCTCTGGAGCAGAGAGAGGAGCTGTGGATTATTGTTATTGATTAATGCATCAGTGTTTCTTAGGGTCAAAAACACTAAACTCAACTTGAAATAAAAGCGTTTAGTTTATTTAATAAAAGAGCACATGTTCAATGTGAAAAGTGACAGTAGTTATAGATTATTTGCAATTTGGTGCTATATATATATATATTTAAAAGAAAAACAATTATATATATTTATATAACACCTTGAATTTCAGGGGGGGCGCGGGGCTCCGTTGGTGGGGCGCAGCGCCCCTCCAAGACAATGGTAGGGGAAACACTGGATAGTGTTTAATCAACGATAGGTTTTCCCCCCCTCAAAGGTGATTGGTTCACTGCATTGCAGGTATTATTGTGATTGGCTCTTGGGCCACATCAAAATTAGATGCGCTGTCATCCTCTCATACTGACACCTGACACCACACATACACACGTAGGGAGAGCCGGGACGAAAGTAACACGGGACGAAAGTAACGGAGCGATTTTATCCGAGCCCAAACAACTTTGATCGGCCAAATTACGTCAGAATTATCAGCATTCAATACTTAACAGACCTACTAAATATCAGGTTTAACTGTCAGGAGTAGCTAGTGTTGTCACGATACCAACATTTTGGTTTCGATACCAAGTCAAGAATTGCGATTCCGATTCTTTTTCGATACTTTTCTTAAAAAAAGGGAAACAGTATTAAATGTAATTTATTGTGCTTTATTTCACACCAGAACCATAACACAAACTTTTAAACAATGAGAACAATAAATAAAATAAATGACAATAATTTGTATTAAATACAATTAATACATTTCTCACAGACAGGCCTCGTGGTGTCCGTAGGCTTGCCCTCACTGTCAGAGATATAGCTAAAATACTTCCAAATTTAGTTCTGGCGTCTTTTTTGTCAACAAGCCGAGGCGCAGCGGCAGTTGCACTCCCACTTGCAGCCATGCTTCTCGTTTTCTCACATGCTCTGGCAGCTAGCGCGTGGCCGCGTGCACGAGAGAGGGGAGGGACTTAGAGCGTGCTTGAGAGGGGCGGGACTGCAGGCACGGCTGCAGTGCAGGGAGTGGAAGCAGAGCGCTGAATACACACGGCTCTTATTAAAACGGCGCTTTCTCACCGGAGTACTTTCCCCCGTCATTCTTAAAGTACCGATACTAATGAAACGGAGGAATCGTACCGTTTTTAACGGCAGGGTATCGCGGTACCTTTCAAGTATCGGTACACCGTGCAACACTAGTCAGGAGTAAGTGTCTCTCCCCCAAACTCACACATATACAATTCGATATGAACTGAAGAGCCTTATGAACCTAGGCAAAGAGCCGCATGCGGCTCGAGAGCCGCGGGTTGGCCACCCCTGGCTTAGAGATTACCGCCCCTTAGTCTATCATGTACAAAGTGTTGGAGCGATAGCCACTAGAAAGGACGAGTGTTAAATAGTGATGTCACTACTCTACGGAAGTAAACATAGGAGTTCAAGGGAGGTGTTTCAGGCAGGGGGGTGTGGGAGAGAAACTCCCTCTGGAAGGAACACAGCGATTTTAGCCTTTGCAGGCCATTTACATGCACACAAACCTTTAATACACGCCAGGGAAACCCCAAAGAAGCTTAATAGGGCTTCTTCAAATGCACACAGGTAGTAATGAGTTCAGCTTTAAGTACATTTCTCTGAAGGGATTTTAATGCTTTAGTGGTCATATTTACATTCCCTTGGCTGTTGCCTTTACATATTTGCATTCATTCATTTTGCCTGCCAGGTATGATGGTTAAAAGGTTGGAATATTTGCAAGTGAGGATTAAGTGTTTGAGAATTAAAGACTGTTTTACTATTACAGCTAGGGATGCTCCGATCGATCGGTCACCGATCGATATCGGCCGATACTCACTCCCTACCGATCGATCGGTGCTCTCTAAACATGCCGATCGCGAGAGCCGATCGCATGACGTAAAATACATGACACTTTTCTCTGTGTGTGCGGCAAAACAAGTTCGCCAAAATGGCTTCACCGGTCTGGCATTATTTTAAGGTGTCCGAAAAAGACAGTGAAATAGCGATATGCAACGTGTGTGAAGCAGAAATCCTGCAGCTCCGCCCGCCGGACAGGTAAGCGCAGCGAAACACACACACAGGGAGAACCAGACCGCAGTTCATTTCCTCATATTCCAAACGAGAAATTACGGTAGCAAATCACCCGGTTCTTTACGACCAGAACTATTAACGGGATACAAACCGGAGGAACCAGGCATGGAGGGAGGTGGCAGAGACAGTGGGTGAAACTGGTAGGTTTTCGCCTGTTTGGGGAGTTTATATATATATATATTGCTCGCATAAAATCCCCGGGGTTTTTTGCTTTGTATGTCGGGGGCGGGAGATTCATGTGATTGGTTGTTGGTCGCGTTGCTCGCAAAAAATCCCCAAGCTTTCAGACACGCCCAGCTCCAAGATTTTCGAAAAGCTGCCGTGTGGACGTACCGTAAGAGTTAGACCTAACACACTTAGCTATTTTATCTACCTCTGGAACAAGCTAAACTAGTTATTATAAATATATTTATTCTTCATTGTCGGGTCACTCATTACTGGATCAGTGAGCTGCATGAGATACTGACAGGCTGTCAGGAGAGAGAGAGAGGGGGAGAGAGGAAAAGAGAGCGCTTCCGCTAATTTCTCCCGTGTTTTTATCCAAAGTGAATGTAAACTTGAATAATGTACATCATTTGAATGTAATAATTAAGTTGATTGTTGTTTGTGGAAGCTCCAGTGAATGAGCATTAACTGAGTTTTAAACATCACTTTAAATGGAAGATTTAAAGTGATGTTTAAATCTTCCATTTAGGCCCCGCCCACTCGATCGGTATCGGCCGATACTGATTCCGGCGATCGGCCCCGAAATTGGCGACCGGAGCATCCCTAATTACAGCACAGGAGCAAGCCTTGACATCAACAGATGGCTCAAGTGTTGTTAAGAGAGAGAGAGAGAGAAGTACAAAAGGAAGGGAAGTGTTGCCGCTCCATTGTCGTATTCACAACTAGTTAAGGGAAAGTGTGTTTCAGTGCGTGTGAGACACAACGGATGCATGTAAGAGGATGTATTATCTGCGGCTGTATCTCCACTGTAATCCAGACACTACACTTCTTTCTGCCCTTCCACCTGTCTGCTCCAAAACAGTGGCTCTGCTCTGAGGAAAAGTCCTGCAGAGACACTTTATAATCCTCCTCTTGTTTTGACAAAGAAACATTCTTTGCCGTCTCTTAATAAAAATATATTACACTAACAGAATGCTTCAGGCAGTCACTGTATATCTGTATTCAGTGGATATAAGCGATGTGCATTATCTACTTACCATGCCCGTTGCATTCATGTGCTGTAGGATCTTGGGATCCTGGACAATGACTTGCTGCTGGGGAGCTGTGCAGAGAGACACGATTAAATCACAACATAAGCATCACGGGTCTCCATGATTCTATCAGACTTCTTTTTTTTTTTTATTAGTCGCAATTAGATCTAATCATTTTTTTCCAGCACCGACAGCTTTGCTATTGTTACACTAGACAGTATCGATTCATAAAGATCAAAAGATAATTTGGTTTTATGCCGAGATAGTTATTTGCATTTAAAGAAATCTTGTTTAAATTGATGGCTACAGTGTTTTAAGTTTGTTATATAACAGCACGGTTTGTTTTTTTTACCAATGTACTACACACTTAGGCCATATGGGCGCATTTTAACAATTTGTTTATAATTTAATATAAAATGTCGATGTAAGGACTTTCAATTTTCTTTTCAGCACTGTTTGCTTTTAGGGAGTCTTAATTTGTAAAAGATAAGACTGGCTTTATGCCATGACAACTGTAATTTACTCAAACCCTTCTTTGACAAGACAGGCGAGGCTACTTGTTATCAAGTGTCATATAGCCACCATATTTACATCGCTCAGGTTGGGAAACATGTTTCCAGGAAGCAGAAGGCTTTTCCACTTTTGTTTTGTCCACTATCTCTAACTCTAACAATGGCTGTGGAGTCTTGAAAGGTGCAGCTGCAGGATACCAGTAAACTATTTGGTTTCATCTGTGAAATGACCTTTTATTTCGGAAGCAAGTAGGTGGGGGAGGAGAGAAAAAAAAAGGTTGAAATTAAAATCTCAATCAATACGGAATTAAAATCGTGACACCATTGAAAACTTCTAACAATGGGTACTGGATAGCTCAGCTGTTAGAGCTGGCTGCCCATATATGGTCCACGCTGCCTAGTAGGCTGGTCCCAATCCTGATGCGACCGAACATTTCAGGCAATGTCCCCCCCTCTGTCTCCCCCTTTCAACTCTAACATCTCCAATAAAGGCCCTTTGGCCCAAATACCGTTAGAACACGAAAACTTCTGATAACACCCTGAAACTAAAATGCTTCAACAGAGAAATAGGGATGTTAAAATACCAATTGTGTCAAGTCATTTAATCTACAACTGGCTCTTACAGTTTAAAGTTAAAATCATATGGTAGTTTTGTAAAATTCTTTCACTTTCTGAATATCAATGTCAAAAACTTGTGTTTAGTAGGAAGGCTGAATACGACTTCTCCAAATGGACATGTTGTGGTGTGTAATAGTAATGGACTTCACAGGTGTTAGCAGTCTCTGTTGCATGCATTAGCATTAGTTGTTGTTAGTGACGGTGCTGACTGACCTTGCTGCTGCTGGATGACCTGCTGGGCCTGGGCTTGCTGCTGCACCTGCTGCACCTGTTGGACCTGCACCTGATGCTGCACCTGATGTTGCACCTGATGCTGCACCTGATGCTGCACCTGATGATGCTGTTGCTGCTGTTGATGTTGTTGTTGTTGTTGCTGCTGCGCTGCGGCCTGCAGGGCTGCCTGCTCCTCCGTGTGGAAGCCCTCCACTGCCTTGGACTGCATCAGTTTGTTTTCCCATAGCTGAGGCATCGGGAAGAAGAAAAGAGCTGAGTCAGAGGTTTAACAAGATTGTGATGAAGCACCTACATTAACCGCTGTGTCTCACTACGGACATTTTGGCTTTTAAATAAATGTTTTGGCTGTGTTAATGCACATTGCATACATTTTGGCAAGAGTGTGAGCTTTTTTTCTTTTTGAGGATAAGGAAGTTTAGCCTCTACTACTCTAATGAGTCAATTATTAGATTGGTAGCCAAAATATAGATAGTGAGACCCTTAAAGACAAAAATAAAAATAAATATTAATTTAATCCAACTGCCATTACAGATCAAAATCACACAATATACGACTTTCAATCTACAGCCCTGACTTTAAAATAGTTTTTCAGTTTTCTATATTGAGCATATTTATTACGCTTTCTCTACGGGGAAAATACATGGCATTTTCTTGGTTTCTTGCACAAATAAATAAAAACTCACCAAAAGTTGTTGCTGCCCAGAAAACACTTCCTTCTAACATTCAATTTAAATAAATAATTTCAAGTGTCATTTCTCCATAAACATTGGGATTCAAAGGGATAAAATTCAGGAAATTAATGAATAGTTGATTGTGCCGATCAGGACTGAAGTTGGTTAAATATTTAACTATGGAAAAATATTTTTTAATGGCAGTTAAAGGTGGGGTAGGTAATTCACTTCAGATACACTTTTTGTTATATTCCATAGAATGCTCTTAACATCCCAATAGCAATGAATACATTAAATGCTTTGACAATAAATACATACAAAAATGTCATCTGTGGAAGCCGTGGCGCTGTAAAAAGCACGATGGCCTACCTGCCTGTCAGCCTTCCATCTGTGCACAAACTTATCTCGTGCCCTCATTGGTCATGTGCGCGTTCGTGTGTGTTGGAGGAGGGGCTCTGTAAAGAAGTCTGAAGGAAGGGGCAGATTTTTCTCGGCTGCGTACTTTCACATTCTAGCGCACTCGAGCTGGTTTCTCCATTTTTACCTACCCTATCTTTAATGTATGTATTTTTGTCCTCTGAGCAACTTTTTTTTATATATATACTTTATTATTGTATTGGAAAGGTTCTCCAATGAGAGGCTGAAGTTTCCAATCATAATAAAAGATTGGGATCAGCTAGTTTCCTATATCCTCCAATGAACTCGAGGATGCATTACACCTCACAGCACTTCTGCACCAGTGACATTTCCCCTATAGTTGTCCTACACAGGAACAATGCTTCTGCAGGGGCCAGTTACCGTCTTCAGCTCCAGCAGCACTTGCTCATCCACTCCCTCATCCAGGAACAGCTCTCGCACCTCGTTGATCACATCCTCGATCACAGACTTATACAGCTTAGGCTATGGGGAAGTAAGCACCAGAAAAGGACATTAGTTGCTTGAAGAAGAAACAAAAAACCCACAAAAACAACATATCTGTTATACAACATTTCCACCACTTGGTGCTTACTTTCATGGAACATATTGTGCGTGGTTTTCAGAAATATGTTTAATAGGACACTTAGAAAGCTTCACAGCTGCAATAACAGCAGCTAGTCATTACATGTCCAACAGACCATGTTATATAAATTAAAATTATTCTCAACAAGTAAGTAAACAGGTAATATTTGGTGTGAATATGTCAAATATGTAACTCAACTCTAAAAACTGGCCCAATGCGAAATAATCCTAGGGATTAGCTACAATGTGTGACCGTCACTGTGTGGAAGGTAATGCTAATCCATATAGCCCATGTCTAAATGTCCGTTTGTCACAAACAACACGACAGTATGTCACTAGGAATTCCGTGGCATACGTGGCGCATACAAACAGCGAATGTACAATGTGTTTATGTCGAATACTGCAGCATTTCAGCGCCGGTAGAAAGCGGTACAATATAAGCCTAAAAGCGCCACCGCACTGCACCGCTTTGTCCCCAATGTCCGCAGCACGGACCTATGTCCCTGTGCTGTGCTTCCTCCCCCTCGGCCTGTCTGCTCCTCCACTATTTAAAGCTCAGTCTGGTGTTTATATGTAGAGCTGGTGACGTAGCGTCGAGTAGCACCTTCCCATCCCGGGCAGTCTATATTAGAGAGCCAATATGGCGGTATAAAACCAGCAGCAGCGAGGAGGAGGGCCAGAACCGGAGCGAGGGCAGACGTGGAGGCCATTTTACGGAGCGGGGAACTGCGCGCTCGACAGCCCCGTACATTGAGCACTATGTGACGGAATGTGAAGGATATTTTCGGTGTTATATATTATGAGTGCTCAGCTTTGACTACGTAGTATGGCTTGGTCGGTGGGGAGCAGTTATTAGATTGTTATGAGCTGGGTAAAAGTGGTGGTTTGGGACGGCTATCCTGCTCGTGGAATGGTGGACAATGATGACTGAGCGTAACAGATTTTTCGGCTAAGGAGACTTTAATTTTACACAAAAAAGCTGAATTATTCGCAGTGGATGGTGGCGAGGTGCTTTGCAAACATCTGCATCTTAAAAGCTATGCAAAATAAAAAACTATTTAGCTTATCATGTTTGCTTTTATCACACTCATCTACCCAAGCAATGGATTGCCCCATAGCTAGATCAGCACAAACATCAAAATCAGATATTAATTTAGCCATAAGTGTAGTTTCAAAAGACCAACATGAACCAACTCATGAAAGCTTCAACCTGACAAAAGAGCCCATTATTCGCAACTTCAAAATTGCATTTCATCACCATACCTACAGTTCTACTTCATTTCACTTACTTTATGTACAGCTCCTCTTACGTTAGCCATTGCTCCTACCAGATGGCTTTATCTCAGAGAACAGTCTAGTTTCCAAAAATGATTAAAATGGCCGAATGACTGAATTAAGCCTTCATTTTATTAGATATAAAAGTGAAGTGGATGTTACAGCAAATTAATTTCACTGAAATCAATAATTAGCAGCTCGTCGACAGCTTTCCATTATCTTTACCCCCATTCTTCCCCGCTGACAATCCTTAGAGATTGATCCTTACCACTGGGTTCGAGTTAGCCGAGCTCGCCATTATACGCGTAGTGTAAAAACCACACGGAAATAGGCGAGAATAGAGCCAAAAATTACGAAAAACGACTTAAAACAACTGGGAACGGTATCTTAAAACAGCCGGCATTACTTTTGTAAATAAAACACAGTTTTTGCGGTCTTATTTACAATCCCGGGCTGCGACTTCCCCAGCCGTCCTCCGTCCGTCGTTGTCCTGCTTTATATACTGAGCGATGGAGCTGCGAGTGCGCGAGACATAGGGCAGGGTCAAAATCGCACATCGCGCGAGACTTCCTGCGGATTTATGATCCAATAAATCCGCCTGCTGCTGGGATATGTAGTTTACAAGTGGGAAGCACCGAAGCAGTAAACACATGTGCACAGATCGCATTAGCTTCATAATGCCCAGTGAGCTTCTTTACTGAATTAGGCCAAATGTAAATATTGTATGAGGAATTAATCCCAATGCTCCAGTAGGCTACTTTCCAAACACTAGATAATTGCAGGGCCGGACTGGGACAATAAATCAGGCCGGGAATTATACACCCAGCCAGGCCACTACCAGTTTGTTTTTGTTTTATTAACAGCGTTGCTGATTTTTTATTTTTTTGGGAGTTAAATACATCAATCTGGTGCAGTTTGAGGGGAAAATAAAGATACTAGATCTATGGAAGCACCCATATGAAACAGAACTGTAGATTTAAATAATCATAAAATCATGGCCATAACCAATAACATACAATATCCAATATAAAAAAATATTGAACTGAACCAGCCTCTCCTGTCTCCCCCCTCTCCTGTTGGCAGCAGCAAAGACGTTTCGCTCTCAACAAGTTTTAAAGTTTGTCTTGCCTTTTTTCACCTATTTAAAAATGTTTTCTTTTTATTTATGCATATTTTACTAATCACTCCCCCCTCAAATGGAAATATGTGTTTACATAAATGATGACCCACTGAGATAACTTAGACTAAAGTTAGGCTATCTAAACACTCAGAGAGTCCTTAACCTCACCTGAGCTGTAGTTATCTCTCTCAGTCTGACAGCAGAGGACTCTCCCTCCACCTTGTTGTTGAAACAGCTCCTTATATCAGCTCCTTAATCAGAGCAGCTAGCTAACCAGATGATAACAACAACAATACAAGTAGGCTAACCGGTGTGTTTTTTTTT